GCCGTGAGATTGTCTCCGAACTCAGCCAACACCGCCAACAATGGCCCACAATCCATGCTCTCTCGCGCAGCAAGAAGGAAGACTATGCCGACAATGTCATTCACAACCACATCGACTTACAATCTTCTCCCGATGAGATGGCCAACGATATCAAGAACGTGCGTGGCGAATACATCTTCTTCGCCGCCTACCTAGCCCAAGACAAAGAAGAAGACGCCTGGGAAGTCAACGGCCGCATGCTCTCCAACTTCCTCTCCGCCCTCGAGAAAACCGGCGCAGTCTCAGGTGTTAAGAGAATCATCCTAGTATGCGGTTGCAAGCAATACGGTGTGCACCTAGGCATGCCCAAACAGCCCATGACCGAATACCTACCCTGGCTGACCGACACATCGAAATGGCCCCCAAACTTCTACTACAACCAGCAAAACATCCTGCACGATTTCTGCACCAAGCACAACAAAGAGTGGGTAGCCACCTACCCCAACGACGTAATCGGCTTCGCTATGGGAAACTTCATGAATCTTTCTTCCGCCATCGCTCTCTACACCCTTGTATCTAAAGAGCTCTCAGGAAACGAAAGTCTCACGTTTCCCGGCTCACCCACCTTCTACACCATGTTCGACTCCTTCACCTCCTCCAAACTGCACGCCGAGTTCTGTGCCTGGGCGGCTCTGGAGCCGCGCGCTGCGAACCAGGCTTTCAACGTCGTCAACGGCGACGTGGAGAGCTGGCAGAACCTCTGGCCTAAAGTTGTTGAGTACTTTGGTGGGAGCGTTAAGCCCGATCAGTTTAAAGATGCGTATACAAGCGGTGGTGTGGGATCCAGCCTCATCAAGAAAGTCGTGGGCAAAGAGGACATGTCGAGTGCTATGGACATGGCGCCTCAGCCTCCCATTAGCGTTGTTGCAGATGAGATTGGGCTTCAAGGCACGCCGGCGCTTGAGAAGAATGTCGTGGAGCAGCATGTGGATTTGGTCAAGTGGTCGCAGCGGGCCGATGTCAAGGCTGCGTGGGAACGTCTTGCTGAGCGCGAAGGTTTGGACAAGAGTACTTTTGACAAGGCGACGTGGGCTTTCACCGGATTCGCACTGGGACGCAACTTTGATCTGGTGATTAGCATGAGCAAGGCAAGGGAGTATGGCTGGACGGGCTACAGAGATACTTGGGCAAGTCTGAGAGATGTGTTTGAGCAGATGAGGGGAGCTGGCTATTTGCCAAAGGCTTAATTGGAGATGCACTGCATAGTGTCTCTGATGATAGTCGCAATAAAGATGTTTGTGGTATACTTTTATTTTCCCCTTGCCTTGCTTTAATGGGTATATAAGCTCTACCGATTGTAACACCTTGCGTGGTTGAAATTCTAGAATACAGCACCTCCAATGATGAACACTCTCTCCTCTTCTCGTCGCACCCACTGAATGACCTTGTTCGCACTCTGTGCAAGCGCTGCTCTCGACGTATTTGCCGGCGCAACAGCATAAAGCTCAAACAGCGGTGTACTCCACGCTAACGCTATACACGTCGTGTTGGTTTCATGATGCACCTTAAGCGTCGACGGCTTGTTGTGCAGATTACTGTGAAGTTTATTGTACAGGTCGATCAATCTAGAGGAGACGATAGTGTCAGCAAGGCTTCTTGGTATGCATGTGGGGCAGTTGATTGCGAGATCACGTGCGAGGTGTGGGGATACGGACCGTCTCTTCTCCAGATCGCCCTCAAAGTAAGGTGTATAGCTCGGCATAGTAAACTGCACGTTACCCCTCGACTTGTACAGAAAGTGCCTCAGCGGACTGCCGGGCACAATGTCTGTACAAGTGGGACGGCCTTGCTGCACAGCTGTGCGTATAGCCTCAATGGACCCATTGCGTTGCAAGCTCTGCGGAAACACCCGTTAGCCCACGAAACATCTACCGAATGCATTGCTCTCTTGTTAAATGATCCTAGCCATATTGGAACCAAACGAACTGGACCATCGAAGGACCGAAAGGACGCGGTGACCGGGGCAAAGGGAAGGGAATGCGGAATCCGACCGGGAGGATGGGCTAGGACATCGGAGATGCTGACGTCCGAAGCCGAATCGCAAAGTTGCCCCGTGGGCCTCGTACGGGTATACATTTCGCGCTTACCGGCAATAAACCCATGAGAACCCATGGGAGAACACCGAGAATGAGCGAATTTCGCCTCCGAGCCCGTTCGAGCCCACATCGTTCGACGCATCAATCTTAAGGCACGGGACAACGTCCTGGGGCGGGAAACAGAGGCCATTTGACTAGCACTCCACGCGTCCTCACGTCTCATCCCGGTCCCCCGTGTATTAAGGAGACTTCGCAGTGGAATGTAAAGAAACTGTGAGCTTACCTCGACTAAATCATCCCTCATACGTCTAAGCTCAAAGAAGCTTTCCTTCTCCGCACTGATCAGGAGGACCGCGACTTCGTCGTCGGCTCCATCGCTCGTGCGAGGCCGCTCTTGCATTTGCTCCGTTGGATGTTCGAGATTGAGGAAGCTTACGTACATGTACAAGTAGCCGGTGTTGTTGAACCCTGGCAAGCATAGTGGGATCCAGTTTTCTCCACCCCCAGCCTTGACGCTACCGGCTTCGAAGAGCATGTTGAAGATCAGGTGCAGGTCACCAGGATGCAGACTATGCTTCTTGGGCCGGACGACGGACACGAGCTTCCCGGATGCGACGAGAAGACCGTAGAGCAGATTCTCGGAGCGGGTCTTCAAGAGTGTGTTGTTGATGGTGGTGCGATGCGACTTGCGGAGCTTGAGGCACTCGAGAGCGGAGAGCAGTGTCGATGGTGAGCCTCTTGTGAAGCCATCTGCAAGCGCTGATAGTAGTGTCTCTGTTCCCTGCAGCGGTCTGCGAAGATCGTAGTTTGCACGCGCAGCAAACATGCGCTCCATACTAGGGAGGGTCAGAGTGGATAGGATCTGCATATAGAGTGCCTCCAGCTGTGAGCGAAGCTGAGAGTCGCTCTCTGGTAAGCGCGTGATGGCTACCAGATTCAGCGGACCCTTGGACATGACGACAAAGCGTACGTCTCCTGCCGTGAATCCTCTCAATATATCGTTGGTGGACTGGTAAAAGGATATGATGGTCTGCACGACACCAATGTAGTTCGTGATGAGCTGGTCGTCGCCATGTCGGCTGTAGATGGGCTTGCCAGCACTCGAGAGGATGAGGAAATGCTTCAGTTTTGCGCGCCACTGGTGCATAACGGCTTCTATTGACTACATCAGCGAGGGCTACCTCTAGGTACATGCCGCGTGTCTGACCTTCATTCGACCCGTCCAAGGCCATCTCGTCGACCTCATCGAACTCGCGACGAAAAGCCTCCTCAAAGTATGGGTCTGGCGGAAACATGCTTTGCGCTTCGGCATCGACGAACTTGTGGCCCAGCGTCCTGAGCAGTGACTTCTCTTGCTCGGACTTCTCTGCCTGGCCCATGACTTCGCCCAGGAGGCTCTCCTGATAGCCTGCCGCCTCTATTGTCGGCGCATAGCTGCGTACACTCGCGCCGTCGTCGGCATCGCTGAGGTTGTGAGCGCCTAGGCTTGCGCCCAAGACGTCACGTGTCTTGGGTCCCGAGGACGTGGGCGACTCATCTTTCGCGTCGGTCGCGAACGCCTGTGTCCGCGCTACAGACAGCTGTGTGGTGGCTTTGGAGAGGAGTTGGGGTCTCCCAGCGGCCGTAGAGTGCGACGTCGAGGGTCGCGAGAGTAGACCGAGGGCGGGTCGGGGTGGCAGCGGCGGAGGGGTTTCTTCTTTGGTCGCCACGGAGCTTGCAGACGTGCTGCGCGAGAAGTTCCGTATTATGCTGAGGGTCGGATTGGCAAAGTCCTGCTGCTCAATCGGCTCCCCGGTAATCGACTTGGCCGACGCATTGCTGCTCTTCTGCGTGGGTGTGGTGGGCGAGCTGGGTCCCTCAGAGATCGGCGTCTGGGGCTCAGCATTCCCAGTCTCGGCCATCAAGACAGCGGGCGAGGGTCATCTAGACAGCGGCGTCGTGTTTACTATGGCATGGCGCGTCAACAGAGGCGTGCATGTCGCGAAGCTCCGTGATCGTGACGCTTATCCATGTAATCCAACGCGCTTGGGCCAATGACGTGGCTGCCCTATCATCGACACTGCACCACTGCATGATCGACTCGCGCTGACCCCGTCTCGCTTCTGCAAAGACATGGGCATGACATGCGCGCAGGAATCCTATTCCTAGCATATGGACACCTCACACTGGTGCGCGTTGCTCACCGGACCCCACAAATAGCTCCCATCCGCCCGTCTCACCTACCTACCCTCCGCTACACGCACAGTTACTTCACCGACAACATCAAGACTTCACAACTTCCATCCTGTTTCTCGCCACGCGCAATCGAGCGCTGACGCATTCTCGCCTCGTCTCGTACTCAGCTGTGCCAGCATAGCTTACTATTCTTAGCTTAACTAGGCGTACAGCATTTCCTCATCCGGTATCTCATAGGGCTCGTACAAAGTGTGGTTGGCATCTCAGGCGTAGTGAGAGTAGCGGTATGCATGATGACCTATTATCAGCCTCGTGTTTGGGCGACTTGACGAAAAAGTAAACCAAGTGAGCCAGATCAGAGAGCATCACGCGCCTTCCGCAGTACGGTCTGGGCAGCACGGTGTATTACAGCAAAGGAGTTCTCAGTTTGGTCAAAGCCATCGGACCTCACTCTCGCAAGCAGATTCCCCCAATAGTCCACACTGGCGCCGGTACTATGTATCGAAGTCCGAATCGACCGATGCCACACCTCTCAACGACAGACAACGTAACGACCATCAACTATACTCTGGAGTGGCCTCATTTCGAGAACCCCAGCAACACCACCTTTGCCGGACAAACACAAATCGACATTTGTCGGTGTCCAAGATTTGATCTTCCCTCGCGAGACAGCAGAGAGCCGGGCCACATCTACACTCGAAGCAAATGCGTCGGCCCCGAAGTCCGCTTCAAAACGAGAAAAGAAGAGCTATGGGTGCTCCAATCCGCCCATGGACCAGTCAACATGTTGCGACCGGCAACAAAAGAAGAAAAGGAGCGCCGCAACCAAGTCCATGAAGATGCCGAGCCGACAGTATACGAACGCCGCAACTTCCTTTTCCTAACCGGCCCATGCCCACGCGGACGGTACCAAGCGTTTGCGACTCAAAAGTGGTTAGAGAGTATCGGTCCATCTGCTCGCCAACACGTTACAAGTCTATCTCTTCTCGTGCAGCCCTACGAAGAAGACTGTTCAGCACAGGCTACCCAAAGAGCATTTGCCGAGCTGGCCAATTACATTCTGGAGCACTTGACCGGATTCAAGACGCTGTGTCTCAACATATGGGATGATGAGATGAGCCTCTGGGGTGCGGCGAGCGAGTTCAGCATCCTTCTACACAGAGATGATGTAAAGATCATAGTGGGGTGTATTCTGTGGAGCGGTGAGACAAGAGAATACAGCAATGCTAGAGCATTCTTTGAGGCTATGACTACACCGCCACACACGAAAAATACGCGGCCACTCAACAATCAAATAATGGGCGATGACAATGGGGAGGATAGCGCGGATGAGCAAGAAGAGGCTCAGGAAGATTTGTCCGATGGACTCGGCACAACAGAGGATGAGATAAGGAATGACGGAGAGCCCAAAGAGACGTCAGTATCTTCACCAAGTCTCAAATCCGACACTGAAGATGAGATTGGATCTGAAGATGATTGGACCGACGCAGCTATGAGTCCTATGGAAACTGAGAAAGATTGGCAGATACTATAAACACTCTTTGAGTATGACATTAGTTGCTGTGATGTAGCAGGTAGAAACATGCCGGGTGAAATCCATCGTTACCTTTGGTGCTTGGGCAGCACTGACGCAGGGAAGGCATGTATCATGCACCTTGAGAATGCACGAAGAAGAACCCACAATACAGACGAGGTAGGCATCTATTTTGAACTGCTACCAGAGCTTTCCATTTGACTTTGCACTTTCGTCTCACAAGGCATTCGGCATCCCTGCCTCAAGACGTAAGCCTGAACATCGGATGATCGTCACCCAGATTGTCAGCATCCACCTCTTGCAGTCTTCCATCCCTCTCGCCCCTCTCCCTCTTTGCATTCTCCCATTTGACCAAGAACAAAAGTCCGGTGCAAGCCGCAGCACAAATCCACAACAAACCCAGACTGGTCCCATATCCCGTCCGAAACCCTGGCAGTTCGCTCTCTAGAAAGATGTTACTCGCCACGACACCTCCCAGGTTACCGAATCCAACTTGCATAGCAGAGCTGACCGAGCGCTTGTAGTGTCCAGACACCAGATTTGACATCCAGGCGAGCACGATGGGTTGAGTAATGAAACCGCCAGGTGTGACGAGAAAGAGGGCAAAGTACTTTACGCCAGCTGGGAGGTTCTCTTGGGCGAGAAGCATGATGTAACCAATCGATGCGACGACGAGTCCGAACATGCAAAACCAATAGCGATGGCGCATGCGATCGCTCAGCCAGGCGGCTGCGACGGCTGCAATGGTTGCCACGATGAATATAGGTATCGAGCGTACTTGGGCGGCGGAAGATGTGTACCCGAGTCCTTTGACGATAGTTGGAGTGAAGATGGAACCAGCAGTGCCGGTATTGACGACTCCTAGTACGTGGAAGCGTATGGTCAGCACGTATCCTACTGTAGATGCTCGGAAGTGAGATAGCACTGAGAATACTCACCAAAGTAGGCAAGAGTCCCCAGATAGATCTTAGGATCTGAAAAGATTCGCTTCGCAGCCTTCTTGTCCAATCTGTCCATGACAGCATCACCCGTGTCGGCGTTGAGGCGTGCTAGGAGAAGGGTTTTTTCTTCCATGTTCAAGAATCCTGCTTTCTCGGGCCACCCAGGTATCCAGAAATACATGATGACACCGAATGCAACGGTGACGGCACCCTCGATGATGAAGATCCAGCGCCTGATTAGTTCATAAAGTCAGTGTTTGTTCCGTATGCAACGTTAATGAGGTGTAGTTACCATCCTCCGTAGCCTGCGATGCCGTCCATCTTGGCGATAGCGAATGCAAGGAGCTACGAGAGGTTAGTACGAACTTCCGATTAGGATATGTATACTTACGCCACCGAATGCTCCTGCGATGATGCTCGCGCTGAAGAAGAGGGTGATGCGCCACTGAAGCTCGTAACGCTTGTAGTACATCGAGATCAGGTACAGGCATCCAGGAAACAAACCTGAATGTTGGTTTGTGAAGTCAGTAAATGTTGCACCTGCGATTCGTACATGGACAATACTAACCAGCTTCGAAAAGACCTAGCAGAAGGCGCATCGCTAGTAGACCGCCAAAGTTGGTGATAAGGCCCATTCCGACTGTCGAAAGGCCTGAGGCTCGTTAGCATGGCACTCACATGTCAATTTGCGCGACTAACCCCAGCATATCATGATCAGGCTAAGCCATGTCGAAGGCTTCATCTTTTTCAGGATGAGATTTGACGGTACCTCAAAGAGGACATAAGGGACGAAGAATATCGATAAAGCGAGGTTGTAACGATAGGCCAACGGGCCTGTCATGTTCAAGTCCTCGGTCAAACCTTGGATCTTCGCATTGCCTATGTTCTATTAGCTCATAAATATGCTACTAGAGTAGCAGCAACATACCAATGTTGACACGGTCCAAAAAGGCTAGGAGAAATAGAACAAAGAGAGGCGGAAGAACGCGAAGGTCGCATTTCCGAAGGAGCTTCTTCTCAGCGTACGGGTCGATATGAGTTCCGTATGTATCGTTAAGCACCACGGTCTTATCGTCTGGCACACTCGATGTTTTCATTGTCGGATTCTCCATGGCCGATGTAAGAGTGACGACGACGCTTAATGGGAGTCTGGGCTACAGGATATATAGAGCACGGCGATTGCTGGGATCTAGTCGCCCCAAAGCTGCAGCATATTGCTACCTCAGTAAGGGTTGATGAGGCGTGATTAATAGTAGCCAATTAAACGATATCGTCATTCATCGGCGTGCACACCCGCTGGACGGGCACGGTTCCGCGTTCTGGGGAAGCCTGCGGGATAGTGGAATAGTGCCGCACGTTTTCCGCTGATCGACAAAGAATATGGGACGGCTTGGGACAGTGGTGACTAGCCTTACATGGCTTGAGACGTTGGTACCCAGGTGAGGCTGGGTAAAAAGCAACCTTGGAAGGCAGCGACAAAGTGTAGACATCAGGTACGAGGGTGCGATACGGCAACGCCGCCTTCTACACTCAATAACTATGCACTGCTCTTTCCTGAACATCCAAGACGTACTAAATTGCGTGTTGAAACTAAATATGCGTGTACCGGATCTGCCACGAAGAGAGTAGTTTCGCAAACGACGCCTATCTCGAGGGAGTACATCGCTTTAGATGACAAGCCATCCTTCCCAAATGAAAAGTGCCGACGTCGAAGGGTACTTGTAATGACCGATTTTAAAGAAGCAGTCAGGAATGAGGGCGGTGCCAAGTGACAGTGACGCCATCCGGTGAGGATTAAGTTGCCATTGAAACTTAAAAACGCAAGCACGACCGGAACTCCAGGAAGTGTGTATGCGAGCTCGGGAGATATCGACATCATCGCACCGAATTTAGGAAAGAGATGAAACACGTGTTGGAAGTAAGCACATTCGAAGTCTACATCACCTCAAGATGTTGTAGACTCTTGGTCTTATATTAACGTAGGCTGCAGCCCAATTCCTCGGCTTCCCCTTGTGTAAGGTGATGCCAGAATGCTGGTCATGAACTCCGTTGTGCGCGCGAAAGTCGTGTCGGCAAACCATGCGAGGATGATGCAACAATGGAGCAAACAGCGATATCGCGAGCCACTCTCTAGAATCCTTGATTGATTTTCGAATGTTACCTGAGAGGACTGAAGACATGGTGATGTTGTGATGCCCACCTGGTGTTGCCGGTGCACAAGCCTCGTCACGCTACCACTAGCGCGAAATCCCGCTCGCTTACGAGCTGCACCACACCTGGGCACAGCAAATTCGTTCCCCGACATCAGCTCTTCGACAATACCACACAGCCAAATCGACATCCACAACCGTCGCCATGGCCAGTACGTTGACGGTAGCTCACGACTTACATGGCTAGAATACTAACGGAGCTGCGCAGAATCCAAGAACTCGTCCCAGCACAACCAGTCCAAGAAGAACCACCGTAACGGGTACGCATCACCCTCCATCGCACGCGCCATCATCCCGCAGATGAAGCATCTACAACGCGAAGAACTATGGATGCCTAGATGAGAACAAAAGCTGATGCAATGGCAATACAGTATCAAGAAGCCCAAGACCCACCGTTACCCCTCGCTCAAGGGAACCGACCCCAAGTTCAGGAGGAACCACAGGCATGCTCTTCACGGCACCATGCGCGCTCTGGTGCGTACCGACGCTTCACCATCCCGCGAGAACACGGCCCACTAACAAACACACAGAAGGAGGTCAAGGAGGGCAAGCGCGACTCGGCATAAAGGACGATACGATCACGAGCGAGCGACGATGGCGGGTTTCGATTCCTTTATGAGACATCTGGTCGGCGTCAATGGCATTCGGACTTTCTATGACAGCTTCGAACTCGAGGGATTGGAGCGCGCGGCTTCACGCCTACTGCAGGCATGAAATGCGGCAATGAAACAAGTCGAAAAGTCAGGTCGGTTCCACCAGCGCGCGACTGTCCAAGTGATGTGTTAGGCTGTTCGATCGTTCGCAACGAGAATAGGTAAGTCAGAGAGAAGAACGAGGTGCAAACCTCAACCCAGCCATTAGTGTGTACAGCAACAGAGCTCTTCCATGCTCGACCTGCTGAAGGAAAATCTATCGTGGCAAGAACAAGCACCCCCATCATTACCAAACACACGACCTTTTACCCCGTAAGGTACGTGTGCATGAAGATGGGGTTACATACCAACTGTTGAATCAGTGCTTTGGACTTTCAGTGCATCTTCTAGAGAGTCGTGCAGTCAGTACATCGTGAGATAGCATACATCTATATGTATTCCAATCAATGACATTCTCCTATCCAGATTGTGCGAATCCTGTTACTCCATGACGCTTCCTAGACATACAACTTAAGGACCGACGGGGTTGTTACTGGAACCTTGACACTTCCCTCCATAGTCTGCGACCGCGACGCTCAAGTCTCTCACAATGCCAGCCCTCCTGAGCTGGTGCGAAGGCGTCTGTAGTCGCCAGACATTGATAAGACGCTCCTTGACACTGTCACACGTCTCTCCGCGGAGGTAAGTCAGCCGAGGCGTTCCCGTTCCTGACGTTGCTGCACAGCCCTGTCGTTGCCCGATTAGCTAGCAGCCCTACACCCCGGATTCATCCGTCATACCTACCCGTCTTCTATTGCAAGACTCTTGTGTTCCCAACGCTTCCTTCTGCGCCATTCACTTCTTCCCGCCTTCTAGTCCTCTCCAACCCAGCCCACGCGTCTCGGCCTCCACCCACTCGCTCCGGTCGAACGTCACCGCCCCCACCATCCCACCATGGCTACCCAAGCGCACTGCGCGTTTTGCTTCGAAACCCTCGTCGCAAGCCTCGAGAAGCGCCCTGCCCTCACGCTCGCCCAAGTCGAACATCTCTGGGCCAAATACAACACCGAGCCTACCACAACCTCCGAGCTCGAAGACGAGACCGAAGCGGAAGAAGCAGACCAGGCCGCCGCACAGGTAGATGGCTCCCACAAAACACCCGCGATATCGCGTGTCCTCGCCTCCCCGCCCTCGTCCGCGAGTTCCTCAAGCCGGCA